TTTACTATATATCCTACCTGTAAATAATAAATTCTTTAACCGTTTTCGATTCTGCCGAGTGTTTTTCTGCATGTGGGCCCGCCAGTTAAAACCCGACATGACAATCATAACCATTTAGCATATAATTCAAGTGCTTACTAAAAAAAGGGAGGGGTGGGGGTATTTCTACTTGTTTCTATACTAAAGTAATTATTTTACCAAACTTTAGAAAGTTTGGTTGATAAAAAAAGTACATGGTCAATTATCCAACATTTTTCAGTCAGGTCATCTGGACAGTTTCTTTTTTTGTGCTGAAACGTTTCGCCTTCGATCCGGAAGGCTTCATCAGTCAAGGAACCACACAACTAAACTGATTCTTCCCCTAACAGCTTACTCCAAAGTGGAACAAACCAGTTCTGCTTGTGATAAGATGGTCTCTTTGGTCTGCCCCCTCCTCCATTGCTGGCCCTCTTCCTTGTTGATAGTCTTGTCAAACTGGTTGAAAACAACAAAGTCCATGCTCAATAATCCAGGTATACAATCCAACATTTTTCAGTCATGTCATCTGGACAATGGAGGAGGGGGCGTACCAAAGAGACCATCTTATCACAAGCAGAACTGGTTTGTTCCACTTTGGAGTAAGCTGTTGAGGGAAGAATCAGTTTTGTTGTGTGTTTCCTTGACTGATGAAGCCTTCTGGACTGAAGGCAAAACGTTTCAGCACAAAAAAAATAAACTGTCCAGATGACCTGACTGAAAAATATTGAATTGTATACCTGGATTATTGAGCATGGACTTTGTCATGGTCAGTTATGTATTTTAAAGACCAGATCAGGTTCAACAATCAAGAAGAACAAGCATAAATCACAGATTTTTACCCATTAGAACAGAACATATAATAAGACTTAACTCCTGATGAAAAGAAGAGCTATGTAGGTAACAATGATTCTCATTTTTAAGACTTTTCTTACCATCTTTCTGCCTGCACATATACAATACAGAGGATGTTTTTTTTTTTTTCCTGAAAGAGACTGTACACTAAAATGTAAGAGCAGAACTACCAAAAGTTAACATTTTCTTGGCTTTTTGAATCATTTTGATTTAATCCAGTTGCAAACATGGAGTACAGAATTGGGTTTTCCAGAAGCAGTTATGAAATGAAACAATTCATGCATGAAGAATTTAGTTTTGCACTCACGTCATAACTAGGGTCTCGTCTCCTGGTTCGCTCAGGAGTCCATCAACAAACACAGAGGTGCTGGTGAAGTTGTGAACATTCCAAGTATGTCCTTCATCAGTACTAAACCTGTGGAGGGAGAGGGTGTTAATCACCAGAACTCAGAATATTGAAAAACAGTTATACATTTTATTAAAAATTTAATTTAAATTTTTATTAAAATAAAATTTATTAAAACACTTGTGTTAGTACCGTTGTTAGTATCAGTACTTATGATGTCTTTGCATTTTGATAAAACTTGTACCAAAAGAAACCCATTTATAATAGTGATATTTCTCCATTGTAGTTATTAGCTTGGGAAATAGGGGCTATAGACCCTTTATGTAGCCAAAGTGGAATATTTGCCATAGTGATTTCACACAGGTGGCAGCAAAGAAAAATATGGGCTACTTTTTTCTCATAAACCTAAATGCAAACAAAAACAGACTTTGTTGTAGTGTTGCACATTCTAAGGAGGACGTCTGCTGATTTTCAGGTGGTTTTAATGCCTCACCACATGGCATACAGATTCCACAACTGGTTTGTTTTTCTTCTTCTCTATATACACTCACAATCAACTCACCACAAGTGATGCCCTCTGGTGGCGCAAATGTTCCACTGCATACAGAGTGTAACCTTGTGGTTCTGGATATCTCCAAGTTTAAGTACACACTAAAGATCAAACTATTGCTTATCAACCAAACATACAATAAAACAAACATATTGGGGGGTGTCTACATTTTATGATTAACACTAAAAATTAACCTTTGTCACAGTAGCACTGTTATAGAAATGGGGAAAATTGAAAATATCTTAACAAAACTGAACCTGCACTTGCTTCTGGTTTTGCTCAAGCATTAGCATTGCAATGCAGCTAGATGCTGCAGAAAGTTAACAATAGCAGTTTAAAATTCATGAGCAACTTTAGGCCACTGATAGTTGTAAAACTGCTTGTGTCAACATGGAAATTACAGTGTCGTACCTTTAAATTTTTGCATTGCATTTTTCACAGCAAATCGAAAAATAAAAATGGTCACACTGCAATTTTTTTTAATCCCCAAACAGAAAAAGACATTAGAAAATTACAGCTTCATTCTAACTGTAGGGAAAGCTTGTCTTTCACTAAGTTTGTTTTAACCAGTAACAATTATGACCTTAGTCAAACAATAATTGTTAAAAATGCCCCAAAAGTACTTTAGTTTGTGTAGATAACATTTGACTTTCATATTACTGTTTTTTTTTAAAGGAACTACATAAACATGAAGAAAATAAAACATTTTATCTTATGTCACGTTTTACATGTTATGTCTTAAACACTAAACGTTTAAGCAATAAAGTGATAGATAGCATAGCTTAGGTATAATTATGATTTTTATTTTTTAGTTTACTCTTACTTCAACTCTCAACAGATATCCAAAACAGATAAAGAAGAATGTAACGAATGTGAGAATTATTCACCTGAAGATTCATTTATGTCTGCATAGAAACCCTCGGCGTGAAATTATTTGTCATATCTGATAAACTTCAGTTCATATTTCTGGAAGTTTTTCTGTATGCGGCTGGTGATTGTTAACTTGTGGTGACATGCTTTTAATTGACTAACAAGCATTATACCTGTATGTGGACACATAAAAGCTTCAAAGCCATGCTGTAATCTGTTTAACACTTGTTTACTCAAAAATCTCAGAATTTGTATTTCAGAGCTCCCAGTTTTTCATGAAAAGAAGATTCCCAGAATTTTCCCTGACTAAATCCTGAAATTCCAGGAGATATTTCAGTCACTTGTTCACTTGGAACTAGAGTAGTGTACTGTAGCCTATGGTATGTATATACACCAATGGTTCCTAAAAATTAATTTTGATTTATAACAGATACAAAAAAGCCAACATAGCCAATCACTAAGGATACATGTACTATGCACATTGTAAAAGGAGAACATACTAGAATACTATAATTATTATATGTACATGTTAAAATCTGAGAAAGCTCACATTGTAATCAGCAGATCAGTGGTCAAATTCCCTAAGTTTTCCATGATTTTTAAGGGTTATTCTCATATCCCCTGAGTTTTCCATGCCTGGAAAATGTTAAAATCATTTTCCAGGTTTACCCTGATTTTCAGAGTCGCTGGGAACCCTGCATTTACACCCAGTCAAGGTGTGTGGTTGTCTTTAAGAAAAGAGCAAAACATTGAAAGGCTAGATGTTTTGCTCCACTTTTCTGCTTTAAAAGGAAGGCTATGACTTGCGGGATTGTTTATAAGTTGTTTACTGATTTTCAGACCCAGACTCAGTTTACTAATGCCATTTGAATCATTACATCGTAAGAATGAAAAACAGTTACCCAGAACTTGGGTATAATAATAACAATGATGAAAGACAGGAATCAATAAGAAATAAGATAAAGTAGCATAAAAATATATCTTATTACTTTTCTGCCACAGTGCAGATTCTGTACCACACTGTGAAGGATGAGGTCAGGCCGCTCTCCACCACACAAGTGTAGAAGGACCTGATAACATCAGCAGCCAGACCTGGTCCCTTCAACTTCCTGAAGAAGCACTGTTGGGCTTTCTTGATGACAGCATCAAGAAAACTATCAACACCCTCAACTGGTGGTATTGGTCAGATATCCCTAAATTTATAAGGAAACATTTCCACCACTGCTCCATATATGTTGAGTGGAAGAGGAGTAGTGCCAGTTCTGTGGGGATACACAACCATCTCCTTGTTTTTTTGGAGGTTGAGAATGTTGTTGGAGAGTATACTGGCCATGCAAGAACTGGGATATTTGATAGCACCCCAGACAACAGTCTCCATCCTGCATCCGTTAAGAGAATATCTCTCCAATGTGCCATACACCATGGAATATGAGCATTTACCCACTCAAGTCGGTTACAATGACAAATTGCAGTCAAGTAGAGACACCGATGAGGGTAAAGAGCAGGCAGATGAGCTTCCCTGAGATGGTTTCTGACAGTTTGGGGAGACATTTTTTTTGGTTATGCAAACAGATTGTTGCAACATATGTCCAAGTAACTGGTCTCAGGTGATCTTGAAGGTGAAGATGCTGGATGTGTTGGTCCTGGGCTGATGTGATTTAACATGTTCTGTGGTCACGAGGCCTGTTGGATGCATTGCTAAATTCACTGAAACGACTTTGGAGAAGGCTGAGAAATGAACATTCAATTCGTGGGCAACAGCTCTGTTAGATATTACTGCAGTTAGCATGCCAATTGCACATTCCCTCAAAAGTGTGACACCTGTAGCATTGTGCTGTGTGATGAAACTGCACATTTTAGAGTGTTCAGCATAACGGGCCATGCTCCATCTGAAGCCGAACAGTCAGCCCACAGTCACGTGGTTTCTGGATGTTTGTTTTTGCACACACCTTTCATAGTCCACGAGACACAGGTGCAAAGCTCCTTGGATACCCCTCCCACTGTAGTATACAACACCACACAGGTTTCTTCCCGCTAGAGTTTTCATTCCGTCCCTACATCTGCCATTTTGCCATAAATCTATCATGAAGAGAACACCACACTTGTCAGCACACAGACTACTCCATATACAATGTCAGCACAATTCCCATCCAGGAGTTTTTGGCCATTCGACTAATTCCATCCATCCATTATCTTCGTTTATTCCAAAGTCAGGTCGTGGGGGCAGCAGCTTGAGCAGGGAGGTCCAGACATCTCTTTCCACAGCCACCTCTTCCAGCTCTTCTGGGAGGATTCCAAGGTGTTCCCAGGCCAACCAAGAGACATAGTCTCCCCAGTGTGTCCTGGGTCTTCCCTGGGGTCTCCTCCCAGTTGGACATGCCCTAAGCACCTCTCTAGGGTGGTGTCCATTCGATTAATTTAGTGTGTTTATTTAATTAATTTATTATTATTCATTTATTATGAATAATTTTGGATATTTAATTTAGTCATGCAGCTGAATGTCAGAGCACATTTCGGCATTGACAAACACGCCCAAAACATCTGACTAATCACACAAAACTTGGTGCATACGTCTGTGAGAAAAAGTTCAGCCAAGGCTTTGTCTCGAGAAGAGACAAAGCTGCTCTGTGAAAAAACAAAAAGACAACATTTTTGTCTAGCAACTACAATAAATAAAGCTGATTTCAGCAATTCAAACAGAGTATGCTGAACCCATGCTGTCTAATCTGCATCTTGATATGCTACACCTGTGAGGCTGAGGGATTGTCTCGTCAAAGGAGGAGTGTTCACTAACACAGATTTAATCAAATCTGTGAACAATATTTGAAATAAATAAATAAAATTTATGCAATAAAACCTGCAGCTCTGCATCTCTTGGGCAGCTGTGGCTGACTGGTTAGAGCAGTGGTTCTCCAATGCAAGAGTTGGGGGTTCGACTCCACCAGCAGTCACATGCCGAAGTGTCCATGGGCAAGACACTGAACCCCTCACTGCCTCTGATGTGTGTCCCATCGGTGTATGAATGTGACAAAGCACTGATTATTATTTGCATACATATAGTAGAGTGCTGCCTGAATGGGTAAATGAAGGCACAGATTGTGTTGTAAAGAGCTTTGAGTATCTTCATAAGATAGAAAGGCGCTATATAAGTACAGTCCATTGACCATCTCTTGTTGGCATGATCTCAGACATGGCAGGTCCAAGTAGGTATCTCTGCAGACAAATTCGGAAGGCGTATCTGGCGGGCCACATCTGATTGGACTATAGAAAAATGGGCGTGTCTGGCAGGCCACATCTGATTGGACGATAGAAAAATGGGTGTGTTTGGCTAGCCACATCTGATTGGACGATAGAAAAAAAGGCTGAACAATAAAAAGCCGTTTGTGTTAACCACAGACACATTATGTCTAAAAACAAGGCATTATTGGCAGATTGTGTTAACCACAGGCATATTATGTCTATGGTGTTAACTGGTTCGACATTAGCGGGGTCTCCATAACTTCTCTTTCCGCCTCTCTTAACACAGAACTTTTGGTTACATTTCAAAATATTTGCACCATAACTGGGTAGTGGGGAGAGCTAAATGTTTGTTTTTTTCCGTCCCCGTGTCCATTACATCTGGAACAAACCCAAAGCATATTTTAATAAA